GGGTGGCCTAGAGCCTGAAAGGGTTCAGAAATCCTCGGATTACCTCCTGTCAGGTGGGCCCTGCCCACCCACTTTGTCCCTGTAGGTCTCACTGGGAATCCCTGCCTCCTGGGCCTTGAAGACATGGGTGAAGACATCCTTGCTCCCTGGATGTGCACCCCTGTGGGGCAGGGGTGGCTGTGGGTGGTCCTGGGACTTGTCTCTGAGCCAGGTGAGCGCGGTGGTGATAAGGCCCCAGTGTTGGGGTCTACCCTGAGGCTCTCAGCAGGCCTGCAGTTCTATTTCTTAGCAAGATGAGGGTCACCCCTCCTGGTGCAGCCCTGCCCACGTCAGCTTAGGCTCCAGCATGGTGTCTGATCCTTACCAAGCAGGCACTCAGGAGAAAGTGTCAGGGCCTTGGGCACCGGACAGTGTTGGGGTTCCATTGCCACCTGTCTCTTTCCCTTCTTTCGGATCCCCAGATCTTCCAGATCTCTTTCTCCTCTGGCACTCTCTGTCACAGTGGAAACCCCCACTCCCCTCCTCCCTGTCTTGGGTTTCTTCCCGGTGGTCAGGCCCTGTATCTAGACCTGCCCTCTGACCTCAGCCCCTTCTTCTCCTGCCTGTATCGAGACCTGCCCTCTGATGAGGGAATCAGTAGAAGCTTCTTACTTACCTGCTCATATCGGTCTGAAACTCGGGATCCTCAGCTTTGTTAACTCAGGGCTCCACTTCAAGGCCAGCCTTGCCCACTCTGCCAGGCAGGTGTGGTCACCCTGCATTGCTGCCCTGTGTGAGTCTGGGAGCTGGAGCCATGTTGCATCCCCCTCTGCTGTTCTCTGGACAGGGCCTGTCCCTCTGTGGATGTTGGTTTCCTCATCTGTACAGTGGCAGCTTGAACTCCAGGGCTACCAGGAGGGGTCAAGGACCAACCGTGGGGCCACTCAAGGGCTCCATCAGCCCTGGGCCAGCCCTGCGATGCTGATTGAAGACAAAGGTGATAAAGTGCACGTCGCTCGTTTGTCTAGCTTTGTTTATTAGCAGTATCATGAAGTGTAATTATTCTCTGGGGAAGTATCTGTCATGGAGTAATGCCCCACTTGGCGAGCTCACAGGTCTAATTGCCCACAGAGGCCCATTGGTGGGGGAGGAGCCGTTACTTCCTTTGAGAATGAGACGTGTGGGCTTGGACATATTATCAAATGACTCTTGCCTCCTAAGGGCAGTGGGGAGGACCCAGGAGGCAAGTTGACCCAGGCCCTGCCACCAACCTGGGGCATCCCTGGGGCCACCAACCCTTTCCTGCTCAATCCATGGAGGCCAGAAGTGAAGGCACAAGAGCCCTAGACTTGCAGTCAGCAGATCCCACAAAGATACCCTAAGTGGAAAGGCTCCCTCCAACCAGGGCTGGCTTCAGGTGGGGCTGTAGATGTGTGTGGAGGGGACCTGAGACCAGGCTCCTGCAAGGAAGTAAGGGAACAGGCACCCAGGTTCCCCCTACCAGCCCCTTAAGGCTCTGGCTGAGTGGACACCTGTCCTGATGCTGGGGACCTCTGTGCCACAGGTTCCCTTCTGGGCCCAGGAATACACCCGCCCCCTGCTTCCCTCCACGTTATCCCTTCTCTATTTATGCAGCACCTATTGTGTGCCATTACTAGCTGCATACATTATTTTAAATCCTTATAAAAATCCAAGGAGGAAGTTATTACTTTTCCCATATGTACTTTTGCAAAAAAGTATTAAACAGATCACTTTCTTCCTCCTAAAATTATATGTAACTAATTGAGAAAAGTAATATGTGCGCACGATGAAACATAATTCAAACAAAACAAAAAGTTACTCGAAAGAACATTTTCTTCCTACTCTGAATTCAGGCCACCAGAGTGCCTCTACAAAGGCAGTCGCACTAGAAGCTAGCTCAAGAGAGGTGAAGTGACCTGCCCAAGGTCACAGGATGGTAAAGTCAGGATTGGATCCCAGCCCTTACTGGCCTCCACGTCCTTACCTTTCCAGCATGTCAGGTCGATTCTTGTCCAGTGAGTTGGGAGGCTTGGGTGCTCTTAAGAAACTGGAGCCTCCTTGGTGGGAGACTTTCCTTCCTTGTAAGGTTGGTAAGGCATTGACCTTGGGAGTCACACGGACTGTGCTCAAACCCTGGCTATGCCACATAACCACCGTATGCCTTGTGCAGCCATTTTCTTTCACCATCCTCACTCATTTGTGGAGCAGGCAGTTTTCCTCTCAGGGTCATTTTGAAAGAGCCACAATAGCGTGTGGCTTCATATGCGAGAGTTGAGTCCAGCTCAGGGGAAGGAGGAAGATTTCCTCGTGTAGCTAACCAGCAGGCCTGGTTTATTCCAAGAGGTGACCCTGTTTGCTTTGAGCAGGACTCAGAGTGTACAGAGATTTTCAGATAGCTTGGCTGGCCACAGCCTTTGCCTTGCAGCAGACCCGTCAGATGTGCAGGCCTGGGCTTCAGTCCCAGCCTGACCACCTCCTAGTGTGGAAACATGGGCTGGTCATGAGACTTCCCTGTGTCCGGAGAATTTCACAGCACTGCACCATGGGGTGAGATGTAGGTGAGCTGGGGGAGTAGATGAAGGTTCCGAGATCAGTGCTTGGCTCCTACTCTGTGTTTGCTGTCTTATTGTTATTAGTTTAGCCCTTAAAGTCCCAGAATGATATTCCAATCCTTTCCCCAAGACTTCTGTTCCTCTCTGAAGCACAGAGACCTCCCTCCCTCCGCCGCCCCGGTCCCTGTCAGGAGGCAGCCAGGACTGCTGGAAGTGGCATGTTTGGGGAGGAAACTAAGAGCCAAGCTGGCTGCTGGGTGTGGTTGACAAGGGCAGGGAGTACCCAGTGCTGATCTTTTCCCAGCTGTGCTTGCCTGCCTCTGAAAAATTCCTAGACACATCACAGCTATCTCCCGTCCCTAGGCATGTCTCTGTTCAAAGACATCTCCAGGAGGCCAAGCCATCTTGAAAAGATTAAATCCAGTCTCCTGGGCAGGTTCTTCACCACCGTGGTGAACCAATTCCCAGCCCTTGCTCCATGATGCTGGGCAAACTCATTGTGTCTACTCTGCAAAACCCAGTCAGCTTTCTGGGAGCTCGACTTGGGCCTCTGAGACATCCTCCGTTTACAACCAAGGAAGGCCCAGCCCTCTATAGATGTGTGTTGAATAAACGTTTTCCACCTGGACAGACTTAAGGCATACAGTCCTGGGCTCATTGCCTAAAACACGCTCTTCATTCATATATTCAGATGTTTTCCTCAGCTCCTGTGTATGCCACGCACTGCGGGTACAGCAAGACAGAGTGCTTGTTCTCATGGGAGAGACTTGACAAGGAACAGTACCTTAGATGCCTTCAGGTAGTAGTAAGTTCTAGAAAGAAAGTGACAGAGTGAAGTAAATACACAA